GGCGAGTGGCGACTTCTCGCCTCATGAGTTCTACCATCTGGGTCCCCAGTTTGCGGGCGTTTGTTGCCCCGGTTCCGGATGTTATGGCGTCCCCGGTAAATAGACAAGACCCTTGGCAATGGGTGCTCTGGGAGGCGTTCAATGTAAGATTCCCGCGGGCCAAGTTCCCGGACAAGTATGTGCTCTGATTTCATGTGTATTTGCTCTGACATGCTGTGTGCCCTTCTGGCTGTTTGTTTGCCCTGTTCTATTATGTGCTTCTGCCTCTCCCTTTGTGCGTAGCTTTGCCGTGTGGCATATTAGTTTCTAGTGCTTGGCGTCACTCGTTTCGCGTTTTGGCTTAGCATTTCGCCTTTCCTGGCTTTGCGATTCACCCTTCACGGGTACGCCGGGGCGCATCCGATCCCACGATCGTCGTCGCCCCTAACTCAACAACAACAACATGCAAGCCCCCCTTTCCCCCCCCCCGACCCCCGCACTGGCCGGCCGCTACAGCACTTAGTTCCTTGGTTGATGTTGACTGGCGGTTGTTGACTCTGGCCTCTGACTCTTGCAGTTCTGGCCCTGTGGAGTATTTCTGCTGAGTGTGGTGCACAGGCCAGGAGTAATTCATCAATACTGGGACTACGTGCGCTAAGGCCACCTTCTCTAAGCACACTGTAAGTACTGCCCTTGCATCTCGTGGTTAACTTCCACAGGGCGGAAGATAACTGCTTCCGTAGGGGTCTTTTGCTGCTTGGAATTTGCCTGCCCTTTGGGCTAGCTGGGATTTTTGTTGCCACTGTTTGGCCTTGAGTAGGACGTGGTGTCGTTGCTGATAGGGGCATACGGTAATGTGCAGCTTGTCTCCCATTATTCACAGCGGCCGGTTCTGTTCCTCCTGGGGATGTTGTGCTTTCGTGGGGTTTGTTTCTTCTTTTTATTTGTTTTGCCTGGTGGAGGTCTGCCCCCTAGGTTATCCACCATCTGTTATATTGGCCGACCCGCCAGGTCAGCTTTGGCTCTGGCAGCTGTTCTGGTTCCTTCAGGGATCTCCCTTCCGCCGCTCTCGCGATCGTTGGGTTTAGCCTCCGGGGGCTATGCGTTGGTTGCTGCGTCGCCGGCTTCCTCTTCGGGTTTTTTCAGGGTTCAGTGCTGGGACACCTACCCGAGCCATCACTCGATGTGTTCACATATGACTCGACTCTCAACTGGGGTTTTGTGACCAGTACCCACCAGGCTGACCAGGAGCAGCGGGCTCTGTCATTCCATCGGGCTCACAGCTATGTACAAGAGTTTGGGGCTGTTTGGCTGACGCTTCAGACAGTTTCGGTCGCTCGGGGTTCAACGATCTGGCTCCATTCGGACTGTTCCCCAGTGGTTCATTGCTTGAACTGCTGGGGTTCTCTTCAGTCCTTGGCTCTTTGGGACTGGTCTCTTTGAGTGACTCATCTGCTAGATTCTCGAGGTCTGACTCTCCGTGAGGTTCTTGTCCAGGGAGGGGGGGTGTCCAACGTCCTGGCGGATGGCCTGTCTCGGTTCGTTCCCTTGAACACGGAATGGATGGTCAACGCCGACTCCTTCAGTTGGCTCTTTCAAACGTTTCAGCTCTCAGACGTGGACCTCTTCGCGTTGGCATGGTCCTGGCATCTTCTCGTCTATGTGGCGCCCTTCCCTGAATGCGTGGTCATCACGGTGGATGCCTTTCGCCAGGACTCGTAAAGGTAAGGGTTACCTGTACCACTTTCCCCCGGTCCAGCTGTTACTTCGAGTCCTGGCTTGGTTGGAGACTTACCAGGGGAGAGTAGTTCTGTTGGCTCCTTGGTGGCCAGCCTAGCCTTGGTTACAGGTGCTGCATGCTCACTGTCTGAACCCACACCCAACTACTTGGGCTGGACGGTAGAGCGACGGTTTCCCTTCATGCAGGTCGGCGTTCAATCCCCGACCGTCCAAGTGGTTGGGCACCGTTCCTTCACCCCGTCCCATCCCAAATCCTTATCCTGACCCCTTTCCAAGTGCTGTATAGTCGTAATGGGTTGGCGCTTTCCCTGATAATCCCACCCTCCATGTAAAATATTATTATATAGTATTATTGTATTATTATATAGTATATTATTTGTCTGAACCCACGATGCTTTCCATGGCTCTGCCTTTTTCAGCAGATCGGCCCGGTCAGGTACCTTTCTGGTTCGGAGTTCTCCTCCGCTCTTCGCGTCTGGTTTTTCTTACACGGGTTTACCACTACTTGTATGGTGACTTCGTTGATGGTGTCCTACCATCAACGGTGGGACACCATCTGCTCTTTCGGTCTTGACAGTGGGTTTGTTTGTTTGCAGCAGTCTCCCTCTTTTCTGGCGAAGAATGAGTCAGTGGCTTTCTGGCAGGGTCTTTGGGTCGTTGATGCTTGGTTGGTCAGGCCGGGGGAAGGGGGTGCATCATGTGTTGTGTCCGGTTGTGGCTCTTTGGTATTACCTGTGTGCCACTGCCTCTATAACCGGGATGCACTTTGGGTTGACCCGGTTTCCCTTGTTCCCTGTTCCAAGGCTGGGGTCTCCCAGGTTGTCCGCAGGGTTATTTGGTCCGGCCAGCATGGGGTCTATCCTTGTGCCCATGACATTCGTAAGTTTGCTGCTTTGGCTGCTGTCTTCGGTAACATGTCTTGGGCCGACATTCGGGCCCAGGGATTTTGGAGGTCGAACAGAGTCCTGGCCGCAAGGTGCAGTCAGTTGTCTCAACTTCGAGTTGAGTATCGAGTGATGGCCACCTCTCGGGTTAGTCCCTCTTCTCTCTTTTTTTTTTTTTTTTTTTTTTTTTTTTTTTTTTTTTTTTTTTTTGAGATATATACAAGAGTTGTTACATTCTTGTACAGCCACTAGTACGCGTAGCGTTTCGGGCAAGTCCTTAATCCTATGGTCCCTGGAATACCATCCCCTGCCGCGAAGAATCGTTTTTTTCATCCAAGTACACATTTTACTGTTGCGTTAAACAGAGGCTACAGTTAAGGAATTGCGCCCAGTAAATCCTCCCCGGCCAGGATACGAACCCATGACATAGCGCTCGCGGAACGCCAGGCGAGTGTCTTACCACTACACCACGGAGACTGCGTTTTCTTGGATTAGGTTGCTCCGGGAAGCTGTAGGGGCTCCCCCATAAAACCAGCGTTGAATGTAATGAAATGCCATTTTCTGCGTAAGCCCCGGAGGCTCATCAGCACCCCCGTCTCTCCCCCTGGTCAGCATTTTTTCGCATTTTTTTTACATTCCAGCCTCTGAACTGGAGGTGGATAGCTGGCACAGGGGAGTAGGGTCTAGAGCTCTCCCTTGCCCCTCCCAGGGAGCTCCACAGACAGCGGAGCGATGAGGGTTGTGACGTCATGCTCATTTTCTCGTATTTAGTTTCGGGAGTTCTGTTCAACAGTTCGGCTTTCAGTAGCAATTTTTTAACCAGCTAGGGTTTGTTTTGGGGCGCCTACCTTTCTGGGTACCTGACCCAGTCAATGGCAGACATAAAATGCCTCCAACCTATATAGGCCATTGCTCCTCGTGCTGCTCCGAGGGGGGGATCAAGTTCTGGCTCGTGGTCCCCGGTAGGCCTAAGAACTCCATTCGCTCCGACTGATGACACGGTCTAATACATTCATATCACCCGGGGTAGCTACGGAGAGCCTCCGGGTCTCATTCAGAAAATAGCGTTTCATTACATTCAACGCTGTTTTTTTTTTTATTTTTCCTACTTCAGTTCAAGTTTTGTTTTTGATCTCATTATTCCCACCAACCTTTTATCCTCATTCCAACACCATCATAATTTTTTTAACATCAAATTAGGTTTTACAATTTTGCAACTATTTAATATGTTGCTTTGGGTCTTTTTGTTTTTAATGTGTGAAAATGTCAAGTAAAGAATGCTGTTCAGTTATCATGATGAGAACATAACCAAATGACATGAAGACAAATGTGTTAGTGGGAACTAGCTACTTAACACTTACTCTCCTAGCAACTTCCTTTACAGTGTTGAGAGGGCGGCCACATCAACAGTCCAAGAGCTTTTCAAAAAAGCTCACTAAACAATTGCAATCAAATCTATGTGGTCAATATTACAAGTTTCAAACAAGATAAAGAATGAAGTTATTTAATATATGGCCATTTACATAGTCCTGCTATTATATAGGTAAGAAAACCAGGACGATGAAAATTAGATAAAACTGTAATAAAATTGTAAACACCATAAACAGTAACACGTTCTGGACCAAGAAATTTAGTATTGTAAGTTGATAATTGTGAAAAGATATGCATTTACTATTTAAACCCAAGTGCAAGCAGCAGTTAACCCTCACTCTCTTAAGCCTCTGAATCACTCTCTTGAGCCTCTGCATCACTCTCTTGAGCCTCTGCATCACTCTCTTGAGCCTCTGCATCACTCTCTTGAGCCTCTGCATCCCTCCCATGAGCCTCTGCACCTGAAGTATGCAAGGTCTCCACTGCTTGTGTGGCTTCTCAAGTACTCTATAGGTAACGTCATGTGTCATCCCTCTAGTTTCTTTGGTTATAGAAGTGTGGCAACTATTACCTTTATACTTAAAATGATGCCCACAATAGTAAACATCACGTAAGCATGTCTGATAATTTTGTATACTAAATGAAAGAATCCTAGCGTGGCTGTTTTTGCTAGGATGAGTAATCACAAAATGCCTTGTAAAAAGTTGCAAAAGTTTTTTTTTCAGTGAATGTCGCTCAGATTCCCATGACCTGACATCTAATGACTCAAATGTTTACTAAATTTCAATTATATCATACAAGATTATTTTATAGACAATGAAGAAGGATGTCGAGAGGTGCCTCATTTAACTAAGAAAACTTCTTCCAGAAGGGAAATTGAACTCTGGAAAAAATACAAGAAATGCATAACATTACATAACATTACATAATGCGTAATGTAAGTATTGCTTACCACACTTGATCATCTACAGATCTGTATCAAACAGTGCATTAATGCAAGAAAACGTACAGTATTAATTAACTCACCTGAAATGATATGATGTAGCCAATTATCTTTGGACCTGCATCGAACATCTGATCAATTAACAAGACAAAGCTTGACCTGTAGGCGAAGGTAGCGAATGTGATGAAGAATTCTATCATGAAAATATCTCCAAACTTTTGCCAGTCTATGTCCTTCATGAAGTGAAATATTTGAAACAGTGTTTCATCCTGTGTTAGCTTTTTATCACACTGACCAGGATTAGACTGTTCTTTGATCGACATTTTTTCTTTCTGAACAAACTGCTGTGTATATTCTTCTTCTGATTCTCCTAAGATTAACTGCTGAGACAAATAACTTTGGTCTGACAGTCCTAGGCCTTGCTGACCATTGGCCAGTTGTTCCTCGAATGACTGGTCCTTGGCTGACAGTTGTGGCTGATTCTGTATTGAGTGGACTCCTTTGGGCTGAGGGGGAGCAGGAAGCACAGCAGGCAACAATACCAAACACAAAACTGCACAAGAAAAAACACACCAGTAGTTATTAGTAATCATTTCATGTTTGATGGAATATAAAATGATTTATTTACAACATAAATTGTAGGAAGCAGCTGGAAGCCAATGACAGCGCCTATGAATAATATGTGGGAGAAAGGAACGGAGACAATTAAGGCGAGTCTAGGGAAAGTAGGAAATGCAGCTGAACAAATTAAACCTTGTGGAAACAAGGTCCAGGACAATATAGGGAACTCTGAGGTTGGTACTCAAATACTGGAATATCTAAAAAAAACTAGACAAGAGGATTGAGGCATTAGAAAAATTAGCTATGGAGGGTAGACGGGGTGAAGATGGTGGTGAAACAAGACGTGAAATGGAAAATGAAACAGGACGTGAACTGGAAAGTCAAACAGGACGTGAAATGGAAAGTCAAACAGGACGTGAACTGAAAAGTGAAACAGGACGTGAAATGGAAAGTCAAACAGGACGTGAACTGAAAAGTGAAACAGGACGTGAAATGGAAAGTCAAACAGGACGTGAAATGGAAAGTCAAACAGGAAGTGAACTGGAAAGTGAAACAGGACGTGAAATGGAAAGTCAAACAGGACGTGAAATAGAAAGTGAAACAGGACGTGAAATGGAAAGTGAAACAGGACGTGAAATGGAAAGTCAAACAGGACGTGAACTGAAAAGTGAAACAGGACGTGAAATGGAAAGTCAAACAGGAAGTGAACTGGAAAGTGAAACAGGACGTGAAATGGAAAGTCAAACAGGACGTGAAATAGAAAGTGAAACAGGACGTGAAATGGAAAGTCAAACAGGACGTGAAATGGAAAGTGAAACGTGCGTTGAAGTAAGGAAGAACTTGACGTATTTATGATAGAGGATAGTCAGGAAGATGAACTTACTAGTAGTGTTAGCGTTCAACCTTCTGTAGTGACAAATGTTGAAACAAAGGTTAAAGTAAAACGGTATAGAGAAGTAAAAAAGAAATTAGATATGAATAAAATCACCTTTGAAGTTAATAGCTGTTGTGCAAGTGAGGAGAAAGCAAAAATGTTAGTGTTGGGAGAGTCTGTCTGAGAAAATCTCGTATCTCATGGAATGTGACAGACAGGGCAAAGGTAGTTTTATTAAATCATGGATGAAAGTAGAATGAGAATATTATCTTGGAGCGTTAATGGGTTAAAATCTAGTGCGGTGGCTGTACACTATTATACTCTTAGATAGTACTATATTAACCTGAAATGTTAAATGGGATTCTTGTATTTGTACTCACTGGAATGTGTGATAATGATATGATAGACAGAATACTTAGGAACTACAAGAATTTTGTCCCAATGATTATATGCTGTGCTTACTATATTAACCTGCAATGTTAAATGTTGTATTGTGATTTGTGTATCTGTACTCACTGAATTTGTGCGCCCCTTGAGGGACTTGAAATAGAGGGGGGTAGAAATAGCCTAAGCTACTCTATCCCTTTGAGATGTATTTTTTCTTGTCTCAATAAACATGAACTTGAAGGCTGCATTATACACTGAGGTGGGTCATTATATTAAAAGGTTTTGAGATATTGAAGCATATGTTCCGATCAATCTTATTACAATGTTATAAGCAGTTCAACTATTGTTCCTATGGTGCACATTTATCAATACCATTGTTAGAGCAACCATACTGTATGGTTCATGGGTTTTTTTTTTTTTGAGATATATACAAGAGTTGTTACATTCTTGTACAGCCACTAGTACGCGTAGCGTTTCGGGCAAGTCCTTAATCCTATGGTCCCTGGAATACGATCCCCTGCCGCGAAGAATCGTTTTTTCATCCAAGTACACATTTTACTGTTGCGTTAAACAGAGGCTACAGTTAAGGAATTGCGCCCAGTAAATCCTCCCCGGCCAGGATACGAACCCATGACATAGCGCTCGCGGAACGCCAGGCGAGTGTCTTACCACTACACCACGCAGACTGCATGTTCACAAATGATGCTGCATGGTCTATGTAACGGGGCAGAGTTGCAGAAAGTTAATGGTACTTATATACATTTGTCTCAAAATACTGTACAGTATTGTAGAGACGAGTCTGAAGCCTAAAGTAAAATTATTTTGTTTAAAAAAAGTAAAAAAGCTACACTACCAAATTTTATTTTGCACCTTCCCTTTAATCAAAAGTAAATAGTGTATACTTTCAAGATAATGCAACAAGTCATTCAAGATATCTATGAAAATAATAAAATATTCTCTATATATCCCTTAACAGGGTCCACCTAATTAATATCATTATGTTAACCACATTAAACTTCATCTAATTTCAAAAAATAATTAGACATAATTTTTTTTGGTAATTTTTACAAAGAAAATGAACATGTCAATTAAATAATTAAAATGTTTGTAAATATACATACCAAAGTTGAGTGTAAACAGCCCGGCAGCGATGTAGCACACTAGTGAGAACCCATTCTCAAGTACTGTCATGTGGCCTGGAAGTAAACTTTATTAATTAAGGTGAATTAATTTCTACAACTTAATTTCTAATCAACTTAATTAATTTCTAATCGACCTACAGTTTTATTAAAACTGTAGGTCTATCTGTACCGCATTCGTCAGTAAAATTGTATAATCTATACTAAATGTTTGAAGAGCCCTTCTGGCAAGCCTATCGTAGCCTTCTGGCAAGCCTATCGTAGCCTTCTGGCATCGTAGATAATATAAGGAAATACCCAAATACAAAAATTTCATATTTGGGTCTTTACTGTACTGCTATATAAGGGTATCCATACCATAATCAAATCATTAGCTTATTATTATATTAATGGTACGAGTAGGCCTATAACATTTCGCTCATCCATCATAAACCATTGCGATCTTTCTGCAATGCAGTAATTTGAAGATGGTGATTCTGTATATACAAATTGTTGCAAAATATTAACAAACCAATATGCGATTATATATCTGTCACATAGTGAAGAATAACGCAATTTAAAATGGATTTTGTATTATTCAAATACTCATGCATTTTCACATTACTGTAATGACCAGGACTTTATATGAATTAATTTAAATTAGTTTTTTTATTAATTGTCATTGTGTTTGTAATTATATAGAGTTGTGTTGAGTATTAGAGAAAGTGTTTATGTGTGATATTAATTTTCCTGACCATTGAATCCTGTTCATTTATTTTGCCCTTAAATTACATTGTGTGTCATTCTTCCCTCCCTGGATTATAATATACACTAACTTCTGTCCCCACTTTACATTATATAAAATGTTTCAACTTACTTTTCAAGGCATTGTTTGCCGCCTCCCCCCTCCCCTAGGGCCTCGTAGCCTGGTGGATAGCGCGCAGGACTCGTAATTCTGTGGCGCGGGTTCGATTCCCGCACGAGGAAGAAACAAATGGGCAAAGTTTCTTTCACCCTGAATGCCCCTGTTACCTAGCAGTAAATAGGTACATGGGTGTTAGTCAGCTGTCACGGGCTGCTTCCTGGGGGTGGAGGCCTGGTCTAGGACCGGGCCGCGGGGACACTAAAGCCCCGAAATCATCTCAAGATAACCTCCCCCCTTCCTCACCACCCTACCACTTGCACTGTGAGAAACATCTACAACCCTAACAGCAGTTATAACTGGCAGTCTTCAGAAAGGCTAACTGGCAGTTCCTCCAAGAAAATGTTGTTTAAGCACAGTGTTGAGTGCATGTACAGGTGTTGCTGGAGTAATGACAACATCAGGTTGGAGAATGACCACAACAGGTTGGAGAATGACAACATCAGGTTGGAGAATGACAACATCAGGTTGGAGAATGACAACATCAGGTTGGAGAATGACAACATCAGGTTGGAGAATGACAACATCAGGTTGGAGAATGACAACATCAGGTTGGAGAATGACAACATCAGGTTGGAGAATGACAACATCAGGTTGGAGAATGACAACATCAGGTTGGAGAATGACAACATCAGGTTGGAGAATGACAACATCAGGTTGGAGAATGACAACAACAGGTTGGAGAATGACCACAACAGGTTGGAGAATGACAACAACAGGTTGGAGAATGACAACATCAGGTTGGAGAATGACAACATCAGGTTGGAGAATGACAACATCAGGTTGGAGAATGACAACAACAGGTTGGAGAATGACAACAGCAGGTTGGAGAATGACCACAACAGGTTGGAGAATGACCACAACAGGTTGGAGAATGACAACATCAGGTTGGAGAATGACAACATCAGGTTGGAGAATGACCACATTAGGTTGGAGAATGACAACATCAGGTTGGAGAATGTCCACATCAGGTTGGAAATGACAACAGGTTGGAGAATGACAACAGCAGGTTGGAGAATGACAACATCAGGTTGGAGAATGACCACAACAGGTTGGAGAATGACCACAACAGGTTGGAGAATGACCACAACAGGTTGGAGAATGACCACAACAGGTTGGAGAATGACAACATCAGGTTGGAGAATGACCACATCAGGTTGGAAATGACAACAGGTTGGAGAATGACAACAGCAGGTTGGAGAATGACAACATCAGGTTGGAGAATGACTACATCAGGTTGGAGAATGACCACATCAGGTTGGAAATGACAACAGGTTGGAGAATGACAACAGCAGGTTGGAGAATGACTACAAGAGGTTGGAGAATGACCACATCAGGTTGGAGAATGACCACATCAGGTTGGAGAATGACAACATCAGGTTGGAGAATGACAACATCAGGTTGGAGAATGACCACATCAGGTTGGTGAATGACAAGAACAGGTTGGAGAATGACAACAAGAGGTTGGAGAATGACCACATCAGGTTGGTGAATGACCACATCAGGTTGGAGAATGACCACATCAGGTTGGAGAATGACAACATCAGGTTGGAGAATGACCACATCAGGTTGGAAATGACAACAGGTTGGAGAATGACAACAGCAGGTTGGAGAATGACAACATCAGGTTGGAGAATGACCACAACAGGTTGGAGAATGACCACAACAGGTTGGAGAATGACCACAACAGGTTGGAGAATGACCACAACAGGTTGGAGAATGACAACATCAGGTTGGAGAATGACCACATCAGGTTGGAAATGACAACAGGTTGGAGAATGACAACATCAGGTTGGAGAATGACAACATCAGGTTGGAGAATGACCACATCAGGTTGGTGAATGACAAGAACAGGTTGGAGAATGACAACAAGAGGTTGGAGAATGACCACATCAGGTTGGAGAATGACAACATCAGGTTGGAGAATGACAACATCAGGTTGGAGAATGACAACATCAGGTTGGAGAATGACCACATCAGGTTGGAGAATGACCACATCAGGTTGGAGAATGACAACATCAGGTTGGAGAATGACCACATCAGGTTGGAGAATGACCACATCAGGTTGGAGAATGACCACATCAGGTTGGAGAATGACAACAACAGGTTGGAGAATGACCACATCAGGTTGGAGAATGACCACATCAGGTTGGAGAATGACCACATCAGGTTGGAGAATGACAACATCAGGTTGGAGAATGACCACATCAGGTTGGAGAATGACAACATCAGGTTGGTGAAAGACAACATCAGGTTGGAGAATGACCACATCAGGTTGGAGAATGACAACATCAGGTTGGAGAATGACAACATCAGGTTGGAGAATGACAACAGGTTGAAGAATGACAACATCAGGTTGGAGAATGACAACAGGTTGGAGAATGACCACATCAGGTTGGAGAATGACCACAACAGGTTGGAGAATGACCACATCAGGTTGGAGAATGACCACATCAGGTTGGAGAATGACAACATCAGGTTGGAGAATGACAACATCAGGTTGAATGACCACATCAGAATGAACAGGTTGGAGAATGACAACATCAGGTTGGAGAATGACAACAACAGGTTGGAGAATGACAACATCAGGTTGGAGAATGACAACAACAGGTTGGAGAATGACCACATCAGGTTGGAGAATGACCACATCAGGTTGGAGAATGACAACAACAGGTTGGAGAATGACCACATCAGGTTGGAGAATGACAACATCAGGTTGGAGAATGACAACATCAGGTTGGAGAATGACAACAGGTTGGAGAATGACAACATCAGGTTGGAGAATGACAACAACAGGTTGGAGAATGACCACATCAGGTTGGAGAATGACAACATCAGGTTGGAGAATGACCACATCAGGTTGGAGAATGACAACATCAGGTTGGAGAATGACAACAACAGGTTGGAGAATGACAACATCAGGTTGGAGAATGACAACAACAGGTTGGAGAATGACAACATCAGGTTGGAGAATGACAACATCAGGTTGGAGAATGACAACAACAGGTTGGAGAATGACAACATCAGGTTGGAGAATGACAACATCAGGTTGGAGAATGACAACAACAGGTTGGAGAATGACAACATCAGGTTGGAGAATGACAACATCAGGTTGGAGAATGACAACAACAGGTTGGAGAATGACAACATCAGGTTGGAGAATGACCACATCAGGTTGGAGAATGACAACATCAGGTTGGAGAATGACAACATCAGGTTGGAGAATGACCACATCAGGTTGGAGAATGACAACAACAGGTTGGAGAATGACAACATCAGGTTGGAGAATGACAACAACAGGTTGGAGAATGACAACATCAGGTTGGAGAATGACAACATCAGGTTGGAGAATGACAACAACAGGTTGGAGAATGACAACAACAGGTTGGAGAATGACAACATCAGGTTGGAGAATGACAACATCAGGTTGGAGAATGACCACATCAGGTTGGAGAATGACAACAGGTTGGAAAATGACAACAACAGGTTGGAGAATGACAACATCAGGTTGGAGAATGACAACATCAGGTTGGAGAATGACAACAGGTTGGAGAATGACAACATCAGGTTGGAGAATGACAACAACAGGTTGGAGAATGACAACATCAGGTTGGAGAATGACAACATCAGGTTGGAGAATGACCACATCAGGTTGGAGAATGACAACAACAGGTTGGAGAATGACAACATCAGGTTGGAGAATGACCACAACAGGTTGGAGAATGACAACATCAGGTTGGAGAATGACAACAACAGGTTGGAGAATGACAACATCAGGTTGGAGAATGACAACAGGTTGGAGAATGACAACAACAGGTTGGAGAATGACAACATCAGGTTGGGGAATGACAACAGGTTGGAGAATGACAACATCAGGTTGGAGAATGACCACATCAGGTTGGAGAATGACAACATCAGGTTGGAGAATGACCACATCAGGTTGGAGAATGACAAGAACAGGTTGGAGAATGACAACATCAGGTTGGAGAATGACAACATCAGGTTGGAGAATGACAACATCAGGTTGGAGAATGACAACATCAGGTTGGAGAATGACAACATCAGGTTGGAGAATGACAACATCAGGTTGGAGAATGACAACATCAGGTTGGAGAATGACAACAATAGGTTGGAGAATGACAAGAACAGGTTGGAGAATGACATTAACAATGCAACAGTTAGATCAGCAACAGACTGACTCACTAAAAAAGAAAATACACAAATATGAAAGACAAATGGGCATGTTGTGGGTGAGGAAGTTGTGGCTTACCTCCGGCCGCAGGTCCCACGATGAAGGCCAGGCCCATGGCACCGTTGAATGTTCCTAACACCCGAGGCCTGTCCCTGGGAGCTGTGACGTCTGCAAGCACCGCCTTACACAACATATTGCTGTGCTTGAAGATTCCTTATTGAAGAAACAAGAACTTTAAACTGTTGCTTAAAGTGATATGTGTGAAACATTGCAGATATTCAGAGAGCTTTTGTGATTTTTGCTTGGATGCAAAGATGACATTTTGGAAAATGATAAACTTTCCTCTGACCAGACTGTTACAATAATCTTTAATTTATAAAAGTTGAATTACCCCAAGGGAGTTGTTGTTAAAATTGAAGGGAGCCGGTCGGCCGAGCGGACAGCACGCTGGACTTGTGATCCTGTGGTCCTGGGTTCGATCCCAGCGCCGGCGAGAAACAATGGGCAGAGTTTCTTTCACCCTATGCCCCTGTTACCTAGCAGTAAATAGGTACCTGGTTGTTAGTCAGCTGTCACGGGCTGCTTCCTGGGGGTGGAGGCCTGGTCGAGGACCGGGCCGCGGGGACATTAAAAAGCCCCGAAATCATCTCAAGATAACCAAGATAACTCCATAACGCTCTGTATTTGTGGATTTGGGCATTGTAGAGTACTTGTCTTATCTATGACCTCTCCACTGCACAAGTATCTTATCTACCTGAGGGAACTAGTGGCCTCGACGAGGACAGGGGAGCCGGCAGCTTGTCAAAGGTTCCCCCATTTGCCCTGATGATCTTTTTCAGTAATTTTAAAATTTAAGAGTTTTGGCATTTATGGCTTCGACGGGTAGGCGGTTCCATGGGTTTATAACCATGTGGGTGAGAAAGCATCTCATGTTCTCAATCCTGTATTGTGGCTTGGTGAGCTTGAAACCGTTGCTCCTTGTTCGTGTTACATCTGACCTTTTGAAGAAATATTCCTGGTCAACATTGTCCAAATTGTTTTGTACCTTAAAAGTTTCAATGAGATCCGCCCTGCCATGCCTGGTTTACAGTGTTGTAAACCGTTTACTTAGTTGTAAATGTAACCGTTGTAAATGTTTACTTAGCGCTCTAATGATTTTTGTTGCCAGGTGTTGCACCTTCTCCAGAGCAGCTATGTCCTCCTGAAGCCGAGGTGTCCATGCCTGAATACCTCCAGGCATGGACACCTATACCTATAATAGGTATAGGTTAAGTAATAATTGTAATTACGAAGCAATAAGATGCTTATCTTAAGATACTAACAAGGTTAGGTAAGGTCGGTGTTTTCTATGAATCTTTTTAAGGGTATCTATTATGTTTAGTATATCACCTATGCACGTAGTTAATAAGTCAATATTGACTTTACGAATTTGCGAGAACGGGTTGAATGATCAAGGCGGGGGCGCACCAGAGACTTATACAATTGAATGACTGACATATTTTCCGTAAAGGTAAAAGTACGCTTGATTATTCCTATGGTTTGGTTAGCATTTTTTTTACTGCCATTTTCAGTTGTGCAACTTTCAGTGAATGACGGATTTTGACTCCAAGGTCGTTCATCAATCTGCCGCAAGAAAACGCTGTTAATTTGATAGTTGTGATGTGGATTGTTATGCCCTCGTAGCCTGGTGGATAGCGCGCAGGACTCGTAATTCTGTGGCGCGGGTTCGATTCCCGCACGAGGCAGAAACAAATGGGCAAAGTTTCTTTCACCCTGAATGCCCCCTGTTACCTAACAGTAAATAGGTACCTGGGAGTTAAGTCAGCTGTTACGGGCTGCTTCCTGGGGGTGGAGGCCTGGTCGAGGACCGGGCCGCGGGGACACTAAAGCCCCGAAATCATCTCAAGATAACCTCAAGATAAGCCCCACATTCTAGGTCTTGCATTTATCTATATTAAAAAGCATTTGCCAGTCTTCTGACCATATGTGGAGTTCATGTGAATCATACCTCTGTGTAAGGTCCCAATATCTTTTCACTTCTCACTGTACCATAAACCTTAGTGTCATCTACAAATATGATAATGGTATGATATGGTGTGTTACCAACTCTATCACCAACGAGACCTCCCACACGAAGTCAGAAGCTACAGTTTCAGGTTCAGGCGAAACTCAAAATTAAAATGGGGAATACGAGTATATTACTTTAAGTAAATTTTTGAATAATTGTACAATAACATATACAAAATAAATGTACCAGCTATAATAGTACATGTGTAATTTAATAGCAGATAACTGATTCACAGTTACAATAGAATAAATGTAACTCTCTATATCGTACATTTAACGATGCCAACTATAGCGACCCGCTGGCATTATTCCCATGACCTGGCGGGCAGCTTCCAGGAAATCAAAGTCTTTGGGGTTCCACATTTGTAACATTACCAAATAATTAGCAAGTAGGAATCAGTTACAGTGGAATGGTTAACACACAAATAAATGACGATTATTTGACTGTGGAATTCATTGCCAATGAAAACTATGACAATGTAAATTACACTCCTTATGAATATTATTAAGAACATTGCCAATGAACTATTTTGGCAATGTTCTATACAGTATCTTCCTGCTCTCCTGGGAAGCACCACTCAGAGGCCCCTCCACCAATCATGTGACCTCAAGTGACTACTCCATTGGCTAATCTCCCATTCCAGCAACCAATCATACCAGATAAAAATCTCCAAGGATGGTTGTACACCTGCAACAGATCTAGAAACATCAACTGAATTTAATAGCTTCTTTTCATCGGTTGGTGCTAACCTTGCCCGAAAAATCCCACAGACTCATGTTACCACATATCTCTCAGGCAGCTGCCCAAACTCTCTTCTCCTCTCACCACTCAGCCCTACAGATGTTGTCTCCATCATTCACTCACTAACAACCAAAGCTGGGAACATCAGTGAAATACCATCCATGGAATACAAGAGCGCCTCCCATGCCCCTTGGGCCACCTATAGCTCTGCTGTTCAACAAATCCCTTGAGTGTCATACCTTCCCTGATATCCTTAAAAAACTAAGAGTAACGCCAGTTCATAAAGGAGGCAATCCGGCAGACATAAACAATTACAGACCAATATCAAATCTACCCATATTATCAAAAATATTTGAAGAAATTATTTACAAACAGCTCTACTCCTGTCTCGTAAAATACAACATACTAAGACCCTGTCAGTTTGGCTTCCGCTCCCAAAAGAGTACCAATGATGCAATTGTTAGTCTCCTTGACTTAATCTACTCAGCCCTTGACAAAAATGAGTTTCCGATTGGACTCTTTATTGACCTGAGAAAGGCCTTTGATACTGTTAACCAGTATCTTACTTAAACTCTTAAACTTACTAAAACTACCTTTTACTTAAACTCCACCATTATGTAATCCGAGGCCTTGCCCTGAACTATAGCCAATCCTCTCTTAGTGACAGACACCAATATGAAGGCTTCAATGATATAACCTTTCCCACTCTATCATTAACCGTAGGGGTGCCACAAGGCAGCATCCTAGGACCTCTTCCATTTCTTATCTACATCAATGATCTCCCTAATCTCTCTAACGTGCTTAAACCTATATTGTTTGCTGATGATACTGCCCACATCTACTCACACCTCATCCCGCACACATTAAATAATGTCGTAAATAAATAATTAAAAAAAAATCCACTTATGGATGTCAACCAACAAACTCACACTAAACATAGAAAAGACCTACTACATCTTATTTGAAAGCAAATCAACAAATGCAATTCAGCTTCAGATAGACAATGTAAACATCAGTAATAAAAATGATGGAAAGTTCCTTGGCTTATACTTAGACAAGAGACTCAACTTCAGCACCCACATACAACACATAGCTAAGAAAGTCTCTAAAACAGTTGGTATACTCTCGAAAATCATATATTATGTACCTTATTCTGCTCTCCTCTCACTATATTATGCATTTATCTATCCCTATCTTAATTATGGTATCTGTGCATGGGGTATCTGCAAACTACCTCACGCCCATCATCAACCAGCAAAAATCTGCTATCAGAACAATAACAAACTCTGCTTTCAGATAACACACAGCTCCCCTGTTTAAATCCATAAACATGCTAAACATAAATTCACTCCACACTTTCTCTTGCGCCAATTACACACAATTACATATACAAACCCCTTTTCTTAGGTGCAAACCCTGTTCTGTAACTCTTCCTGGACAGTTGTAGCGAAAAACGTAATCACCACACCAGACGTAAATATCTCTTTGATATCCCCAGAGTCAAACTTAAGCTGTGTAAACACTCTATGCAAATAAAGGGACCTAGTCTATGGAACTCACTCCCTAACGAACTGAAAAGCTGTCCAACTTTTGCCTTTTTCAAAAACAAAATTAAAATGTACCTAATTTCGTCGTCATAGTTTTCTTCCGAGTGCTTTAACTCGTACTTATCTTGAGGTTATCTTGAGATGATTTCGGGGCTTTAGTGTCCCCGCGGCCCGGTCCTCGACCAGGCCTCCACCCCCAGGAAGCAGCCCGTGACAGCTGACTAACTCCCAGGTACCTATTTACTGCTAGGTAACAGGGGCATTCAGGGTGAAAGAAACTTTGTCCATTTGTTTCTGCCTCGTGCGGGAATCGAACCCGCGCCACAGAATTACGAGTCCTGCGCGCTATCCACCAGGCTACGAGGCCCCTCTAATTTGGGTGCACTGTATCTAGTACTACCCAATCCCCCCCAATATATGTACCTAAGCCATATAACTTCACTCATAACGTTAATCATTGATATCACCTGATATCATGGTTGTTATATTGAGTGCATATTCTACTGCATTATTCCATGAAATGATCCTCAAATTGTGCTACAATGAACCAATTGATAACCCTGAAATTTTATCCTAATGTACCTAGTAATCCTCGTCACTATAGTGTATTGTTATTATTGTGTATTAATCTAATCTTTGCTTATTGTGTCAAAATTTCTTACAATGTACCTGTAAACATTTTTTTGTCAATTTTACTGGAAATTATCTACTTAAAACTATCTGTTAGATTAAGGACTTGCTCGAACCGCTATGCGTGCTAGTGACTTTACAAGAATGTAAAATCATCATTACTGTACTCTCTTAACCTCCATTGTACCTTTTTGTATATAAATAAATAAATAAATAAATAAATAAATACTAAATAAGTCTGCCGACGGTGTTGGCTACTCCGTTGTCTTTCCTGACCAAACCTGCATGGGCCGTAAACCCCAGGGAGACTACCATCTTCAAAGAGGAAGTTCATGCAATTATGTCTGCTCTTCGTCAACTGCTTTTCCGACGTCAACCTCTATTTGTCCTTGTGGTTGACTGATGGCTCTCAAGTTATTTAACCCTTTGCATCTTGTGGTAGTCGAAATCCAGTGTTTGCTGTTTCTTTTCTCTAGTAAATTTAAGAAAGTTGAAATGTGCGGAGTTTCCAGCCATATTTAACTGAATTTAGCTGAATTTATATGATGGGCCGCTATCTCTCAAGTGGCCTCGACGAGGGCAGAAAGCCGGCGGCTTGTCAAATTCCCCACACCTTCTACATTTTTCCTGATCGTTTTATCAATTTGGATCTTAAATTGCAGCAGTGTTTTGACATTGTACAGCTTTTGTGGGTGTGGGTGAAAAAGTATCTCCGGTTTTCTGTTCTACATTGTGGTTCGTTGAGCCTGAAACCGTTGCTCCTTGTTTGTGTTACATCTGACCGTTTTGAAATAGTTGTCTGGATCAATATCCTCCAAATTGTGTTATATTTTTAAAGTTTCGATGAGATCCGCCTTGTCATGTCTGGTTTTCAATGTAGTTAACGCTGTGGCCGTCAACCGTTCTTAGTATGGGAGTCATGTTCAGGAAGTCGAGGTCAGGGGGGATATAGGAGTCATGTTCAGGAAGTCGAGGTCAGGGGGGATATAGGAGTCATGTTCAGGAAGTCGAGGTCAGGGGGGATATAGGAGTCATGTTCAGGAAGTCGAGGTCAGGGGGGATTTTTATCGCCGGGTGCTGAACTTTTTCCTACGTAGATATGTCTTTCTGAAGATAAGGTCACCATGCTTGGATACAATAATCCAACTGTACCAGAGATTTGTGCAGTTACGTCTGACTATTCCAAGGATTTAATTTTTTTTATTAAATGTCGCTCCCACTTGTTGAGCAACCATTAGTGGTTTGTGGATTCTGACTCCAAAGTCTTTTTCTTCATTAATCTGTTGCAAAGTTAATGATTTAGTACTTGTGATATGCCTCGCATGCAAGTCTTTAATTTTTCGATATTAAATAGTTCCCAATCTTCTGACCACTTGTGGAGTTCATGTACATCTCTTTGTAAGACCTCATTTTAATTTTTCACTTCCAACTTTACCATAAATCATATCAAAGTTTGCAATTTGTCATCTTTAAATTTGATAACGTGGTTTGTAATATTCTCATCCATGTCATTGAGGAATATGCCAAAAAAGGTTGGCCCCAAACTGGAACCTTGCGGTACCCCACTCACCACATTTCTCCAGTCAGATTCATTTCCGTTTAGGACGACCTTTTGCTGTATTCTTTTAGCCACTGTTTTATTCATTCTATTATTCTACCATTTATTCCATGCGATTGTACTTTCCATGCAACTGTCTCATGTGGTACCTTATCAAATCGCTACGGACCTCCACCAGAGTTTCCTCTGGCTTCATCCTGGCCAGGCATAGTAAACTCCGTGTATACAACAACTATCGGAAGTCCTTTGTCTGAGTAGCCGGTTAAAATGTGAGCAGGTTTGTAGGGCAGGATTTATTTTAACAAACCCCGTTGTGTTGATCGTACAAGATTGTTCACTGAAAGATGGTGAATGGTTCCCTCTATTAGGATTCTCTCCACGAGCTTACAGACGCAGGCGATGGGTCACAATAACGTGGCTGAAGTATGTTGACCAGACCACACACTAGAAGGTGAAGGGACGACGACGTTTCGGTTCGTCCTGGACCATTCTCAAGTCGATTGTCTTGTCATTCTCACAATCAACTTGAGAATGGTCCAGGACGGACCGAAACGTCGTCGTCCCTTCACCTTCTAGTGTGTGGTCTGGTCAACGAGCTTACAGATGTGTGATGTCAAGCTGATTCGCGGTAGTTTTCGGCAGAGCTCTTTCTGCTTTTTTTTAAATAAGGGTGACATTTGCATATTTCCAGTCTAGGGGGACTATCCCTTGGTCCAGGAATTTTCTGAAAAGGAATTTCAGTGGTAGGCATAGTTCGTCTACCAGTTCCTTTACGACTTTAGAGTGACTTTCGTCCACACCTGAGGCGTTTGAACCTTTCAGTCGGTCAATGCTTTTTCTGACTATATCACATGTTATGGGGGATAGTGTCTAATTCATTCTCTTCACCTGCTTCAAACATTTACGTGAGTATTGGGATGTTGTCAGAACTCTCTAGTGTGAACACTAGAACACCGTGAACACCGGTGTTCTAGTGCTCTAGTGTGAACACCGTTCATTATAACATGGATGGTCTCGTCTTTCAATGTCCTTCCGAGTCTTTTGTTTTGGAAGTAAATATCAGTAGTATCGTTATCAGAAGTATCGTTACTTCTGATATTGGCGTTACCTTAAATGAACATGCGGACATCGCCGCTAAGGAGGCCATTTACACTTGTTCTATTTCTTAAAAAGCGGGGATTCCTTATTGAGATTTCTTACCAATCATTTCTCCCTCAGTCTGCAGATTTTGGCAGGTTCGTTGGTTTGGTGTTACAGGTAAACAACTGCTCACTCTTAAAGGTAATCTATCCCCCTTTGTCTTCCTCCTACCATCATAAAATACAACACCATAATATACAATCAATTCTGATTGAAATTACCTACTTAAAATTATCTGCTAGTTTAAGGACCTGCCCGAAACGCTGCGCGTACTAGTGGCTTTGCAAGAATGTAAATACTGTACTATCCAACGTATTCTCACAAACCCAATGTACCTTCTTGTATTATATATATAAATAAATAAATGGGAAACGGCTCAGACTTGATTACGTATTGGCCACGCACGCTTAACTCTTGGGCACTTAATGTCGCCCAGTGCAGCCTTTATTGTCCAAAGAACTATATTGTCACACTTACAGTCTTGTACCTTCTTGGGTGATCGTGTGTCTTGCTTTCCTAATGTCCCTCGATGGAATCCTTGGTAAATGTGGTACCTTTGATATCGCTCGCCTTGTGTGCCTTGCTTTCCTAATCTCCCTCGATGGAATCCTTGGTAAATGTGGTACCTTTGATATCGCTCGCCTTGTGTGCCTTGCTTTCCTAATCTCCCTCGATGGAATCCTTGGTAAATGTGGTACCTTTGATATCGCTCGCCTTGTGTGCCTTTGTACCGTGTTGGCCTCCTCAGTGATATTCACCGCCTTATGAATATCCAGTGAGGCAGATGAGGCCATACAGTCCTCGCTTAGTGGTGTCTTCTGGACGTAAACACTCGTGGTGTTGTGGTTAAGACTATTTTAAACTTTCTAAGAAACCTTGCTTATCATATTCGATTTTTTGTTATAATGTTTACAACGTAGAATCAGTACTTTTTTATTATAAGCTTGAGTCTGGGATATAATAAATAATAAGGTAATGTATTGCCTAACCAGTATTATTAATGATAGATATTATTGTATATATTTGTATTTATATATACAAGAGTTGTTACATTCTAGTACAGGCACGTCTCCAGCATACGACCCCCGCGAAGAATCGTTTAACAACCAGGTACTCATTTTACTATTAGGTTAAACAGAGGCAATAGTTAAGGATTTGCACCCACTAAATCCTCCCAGGATACGAACCCAGGACAAAGCATTCACGGAACGCCAGGCGAGCGTCTTACCACTATGCCACGGAGACTGTATATGGGGAGAATACTTATAATTCTAGCAATACAACACACATTCTAATCTGATTGTCATTATTTTAATAAGAAACAGTTGTAATGAAGCTGTTACAACCTGCCCTTACCTGTAATGAAGCTGTTACAACCTGCCCTTACCTGTAATGAAGCTGTTACAACCTGCCCTTACCTGTAATGAAGCTGTTACAACCTGCCCTTACCTGTAATGAAGCTGTTACAACCTGCCCTTACCTGTTATGACCCTTGAAACAACCATGACCACTATGGAATCAGAAGCTCCAAGAACAATGTAGCCAACAGCGGAGAGCGCGAGACCCAGCAGGAGCAGGGGGCGCCGGCCCCACCGGTCACTACACCAACCCTGTAAGTACCATAAGTCACATATTACAGAATTTAGTAAAATCCAAACCAATATTTGCAGTCTCCGTGGTGTAGTGGTAAGACACTCGCCTGGCGTTCCGCGAGCGCTGTGTCATGGGTTCGTATCCTGGCCGGGGAGGATTTACTAGGCGCAATCCCTTAACTGTAGCCTCTGTTTAACGCAACAGTAAAATGTGTACTTGGATGAAAAAACGATTCTTCGCGGCAGGGGATCGTATTCCAGGGACCATAGGATTAAGGACTTGCCCGAAACGCTACGCGTACTAGTGGCTCTACAAGAATGTAACAACTCTTGTATATATCTCAAAAAAAAAAAAAAAAAAATATTGAATATTATTGTTCAGCATTGTTCAATTATGTGTGCGAATTTATGTGGACACACTGCACTCGCAATGTATACATGTACACAAGAAACTACTGTTATGGGGGGGGGGTAGTGTGACGACTGATGGGCCAATGTTAAAATCCAAAGGAGTTCCTAAAATAGTGCCAATAGGGAGGCCCCGGGGCCCAGGGAAAGAATATTCCCAGAAAATAAACAATTGCTTGGCTAGAAAAACTGTCTAGTCTAAGGTGATCCCCTGTTCCACTCTCAACAGGAAGAAGATATACTCCATTCTTAGTGTTCATTTATTAAACCCTCTAATATCCCCCATATACATTACTACAATAATATACCTTACCACTCTACCTTACGTTAAATACCTTGGTCCACATAGACAGGATACAAGGTTTACACTTGAAAAACTAGGGTAAAGTCTACTTGAAGAGAGGAAGTAGCAGCCTGGGTAGCTATGACCCACGTGGTTCACTAGTCAGAATGGAGTACACTTATTGATGCCAAAACCCTGGCCTAAAATACCTCTACACACACACCTAGCTAGCAGCACAGTAAATACACGGACGGTTACTTATCTTATAAAGTACACCCAGGATAAGGTAAGGGAAGAGAGGATGAGGAGGAGAGACAGAACCACACGGGGGAGTTGCGAACACCACCACACAGCCAGCCTGCAACCCGTTCTCGCAAATTCGTAAAGTCAATATTATTAACTACGTGCATAGGTGACATACTAAACATAATAGATACCCTTAAAAAGATTCATAGAAAACACCGACCTTACCTAACCTTGTTAGTATCATAAGATAAGCATCTTATTGCTCCGTAATTACAATTATTACTTAACCTATACCTAATATAGGTTAGGTAATAATTATAAATAATAATAAATAAGTACCTATAATAGGTATAGGTTAAGTAATAATTGTAATTACGGAGCAATAAGATGCTTATCTTAAGATACTAACAAGGTTAGGTAAGGTCGGTGTTTTCTAGGAATCTTTTTAAGGGTATCTATTATGTTTAGTATGTCACCTATGCACATATTTAATAAGTCAATAATGACTTACTAAATTTGCGAGAACGGGTTCAGCCAGAGATCCCAGCCTTTATAACACCCACTGTCCTATACCACCCGTCCTCGACTCAAGTCCATTACATCCAGCGGTCGACCCCACAGACGCATTCATAAATTTTAATATGCTGTTCATTCAAAACGGGAATTTTCTCAAGTATAAATTAATATTATAATATATTAGCATATTGTGCATATATAGGCATAGGTTAGGTTAGGTTAGGTGTTTAGGTTCTGTTGGCGATTATTTGTATTTGTAGTACGTGGGTGAAGCATTTATAGCGTTGTGATTCGAACAAAATTCGTCAGTGAAGCACTTGTTCCGGGTATGTTCGAACGTTAGCAGTTGTGAGTCGTGTGTAAACCGCTTTTTCACTCATAAACAGGGGGTTTGGCGGGTGCATGGAATCACTTTTGGATCTTTGTTTGGAGGACGGGCTGGTCCTATGCTAACGAAACAAGTCACGACTAAAAGGCTAAACAATCTATGGCTTACAAAGGGGATACTTAAATCCATTAATAAAAACCATGACCTTGAGAAGAAGTATAGGTTAGGAATCGTCTCCAAAGAATTTTCAAAGAATTACGCATCATTGCTATCTAAAATAATTAGAAGAGCCAAAATTAAATACTACGAAGATAAATTTACCCACACAAAGGGCAAGGACTCTAACTCGACCTTGCTCCCAGGCCCTGTTCGGTTGCTCTCGTATTTTCTATTCTGCAAATTCCGACAATTTCGTGAAGGGTCTGCCACATGTACATTGGCGACGTACGCATTGCAGTCTTGAAAGCAAAAAAGAAAACCCCCACATAAGAAAATTCCTAACAGATATAGCATGGGAAACAGAGCTCAGGGGAATGACGGCCCAAGACATGATGGACAACATCACGCAGAAGTGCAAGGAAGCAACAAACAAGTTTGTCCCAGTCCAAAAGGAAAACAGTGAAATGAAGATGAGAAACCCATGGTTTAATCAGAGATGTGGGCTAGCTAAGCAGCAAAGTAAAAGGGCATGGAGAAACTATAGGAATAACAGGACACTGGAGAGCAGAGAAAGATACCAGAATGCCAGGAATGAATATGTTAGGATGAGAAGAGAGGCAGAAAAACAATACGAAAATGACATCGCAAGCAAGGCAAAGACTCAGCCTAAATTGTTGCATAGCCACATAAGGAGAAAAACAACAGTAAAGGAACAGGTTATGAAATTAAGAATAGGGGAAGAAGGATTCACGACAAACGACAAGGAAGTGTGTGAGGAGCTGAATAAGAAATTCCAAGAGGTCTTCACCTTAGAGCAAGGAAAAATTCCAGAGATAAGAGAGAGAATAGCTAACCAGGAACCACTGGAAGAGTTTGAGATTACCAGCGGGGAAGTAAGGAAGTGTTTACTAGAGTTGGATGTGACAAAGGCTATAGACCCAGATGGAATCTCCCTTTGGATACTAAAGGAACAGAAGAACTGTGCCTGCTACTCTCCATAGTGTATATCAAATCACTGGTAACAGGGGAACTGCCAGAAATTTGGAAAGCAGCTAACGTAGTCCCGATATACAAGAAAGGGGATAGACAGGAGGCACTGAACTACAGGCCAGTGTCCCTAACCTGCATACCATGCAAGCTGATGGAGAAGATTGTGCGAAGAAAGCTAGTGGAACATCTGGAGCGAAAGAACTTTGTAACACAGCATCAACATGGGTTCAGGGATGGCAGGTCCTGCCTCACAGGGTTACCTGAATTCTACGACCAGGCAACAAAAATCAGGCAAGAAAGAGAAGGGTGGGCAGACTGCATATTTTTGGATTGTCAGAAAGCCTTTGATACAGTGCTACACAAGAGGCTAGTGAAAAACCTGGAGATGCAGGCCGGTGTGAAAGGGAAGGTACTCCATTGGATAAAGGAGTACCTAAGCAACAGGAGACAACGAGTCAGTGTGAGGGGTGAGGTCTCAGATTGGCGAGACGTTACAAGTGGAGTCCCGCAGGGGTCAGTCCTTGGACCTATACTGTTTCTGATATATGTAAATGATCTCCCAGAGGGCATAGAATCGTTTCTCTCAATGTTTGCTGATGATGCAAAAATTATGAGGAGGATTGAAACAGGATGATAGTAGGAGGCTACAAGATGACCTAGACAGACTGAGCGAATGGTCCAACAAATGGCTGTTGAAGTTCAACCCGAGTAAATGCAAAGTAATGAAACTAGGCAGTGGAAACAGGAGGCCAGACACAGAATACAGAATAGGAGATGAAGTACTTAATGAAACGGACAGAGAGAAAGATCTAGGAGTTGATATCACACCAAACCTGTCTCCTGAAGCCCACATAAAAAGAATAACGTCTGCGGCATATGCGAGGCTGGCTAACATCAGAACAGCGTTCAGGAACCTGTGTAAGGAATCATTCAGAATCTTGTACACCACATATGTAAGACCAATCCTGGAGTATGCGGCCCCAGCATGGAGCCCCGTACCTTATCAAGCACAAGACGAAGCTGGAAAAAGTACAAAGGTATGCCACTAGACTAGTCCCAGAACTAAGAGGCATGAGTTACGAGGAAAGACTGCGGGAAATGCACCTTACGACCCTGGAGGACAGAAGAGTAAGGGGAGACATGATCACAACCTACAAAATCCTCAGGGGAATCGACCGGGTAAACTATTCAACACTGGTAGCACGCGAACAAGGGGACACAGGTGGAAATTGAGTACCCACATGAGCCACAGAGACGTTAGAAGGAACTTTTTCAGTGTCAGAGTAGTTAACGGATGGAATGCATTAGGCAGTGATGTGGTGGAGGCTGACTCCATACACAGTTTTAAATATCGATATGATAGAGCCCAGTAGGCTCAGGAATCTGTACACCAGTTGATTGACAGTTGAGAGGCGGGACCAAAGAGTCAAAGCTCAACCCCCGCAAGCACAAATAGGTGAGTACTCTTGTACAACCGACACAACCTGGCTTTGTTATAAACAGATCCTGCCGTACAAACCTGCTCACATTTTTGGAAACGGGTCACCAGCAACTCGGACAAAGGCCTTCCGGTGGGTACATGGATTTTGCTAAAGCTTTTGATAAGATACCACATAATAATAATAATAATAATAATAATAATTTTTTTTATTTAGGCAAAGGTACATACATAAAGAGATTTTACAAAGTTTGTTGGCTTTATAGATAAGAGCTAGTACATACAATGCCTAAAGCCACTATTACGCAAAGCGTTTCGAGCAGGAAAAAACACTACTGACTAAAGCTTAAAACTAATGGGTAAAAAGAAAAAAAAATGCGTTGAGTACAAATAAAAATAGAGGTAAAAGAGGGGGGAACATTGTTGAAAAAACAGCACAAATACAATTACAAATTATTACAGAAAATTACATTAAAACAGCGTTGATTTGTAAAACAAAAAAAAACAAAAAACATACATGGGTTGACAATAGAGGGGTAAGGTAGGTTACAGGGAATTTATTAGGTATAGCTTCGTTTTTAACTTAAACTGGTTGAGAGAGGTACTGTCTTTAACATGGTTGGGAAGGTCATGAAAGACTGGCAGAGAAA